GATACAATGTATTCTTCTTCTCTTCTTCGAAAAGATCGTTCAACTTATCTGGGTTCAACTGTATTTATTTTCTGCATTTTTGTACGGTCGTTTCTACGTTAATTCTGTTAATAAAAAAGCGAAAGACACATATTGTTCGTCCACTGTCCACGTGTGGTCCAATTAACACTGATATCAGCGGCAACCGCACTCGACGACGACCATGTCTTCGTAGTCGTACTCGTAGGTCACGGTACGTTTGTCGTTCACGTAGAGCAGACTCATCGATTCCAGTTTGGTGGGCACGCAGCAGGGTTTGCCCAGCTTGTTGCCACTCTCGCTGATCTGGAGAGCGCCGTGCATCAACGCCTGCACGATCGCGTGATTGGTCGGACTGAGATGATCGCCCATCGGGAAGGAACACCTGCCGGAGCACTGATAGGCCTCGTAACCGTCCGGTGCGAGCACCCACTTGTCGTACGAGATCACGGAGAAGTTCACGTACATGAAACGCCGGTGACAGTTGTTGCGACGTCGTCGTCGCCCGTCCTCCCAACGATCCGGATCATCCGGCTCCTTCGCGGATCGTCGATAACGCCGGACCTTGCTGTAATTCAGCAGGAGGATCGGACCGTCATCGTTAGGACGATACGTCAACGTGCCGTATACCCAGAGCTGGACGGTATCGTTCCTGCCGACGACGGCGGACGTGACGTCGAAAGCCCGCCAGGCGCCGTCCTTCCTGGCCCTCCGGATCTCCTCGTTTCTGATGTTCTTCGTCGTCGACGGACCGTCGACAAATCGCACTCTGATTATCGCACCGGCTATCCCGAGCAATTCCGCGGTCTCCAGCGTCTCGTCGACGCCGACAGACGGGATCGCGAACTCCAGGATCCTGCCGGCGTCGCTGATCGGGCCGGAAGTGCGGACCGGCTTGATCGCGCGGACGACGGCGTTCGGGCGCCGGTAGTACAGCTGCAGCATGTACATGAACAGGGTGCTCTTGTTCTTCCGGCGATGCGCGACGTCGCGCGAAATTCTCATGTTGGTCCTGTTGAAGGGAGATCGGCGCGACGTCGACGGTGATGACGACGACGACGACGACGGGATCAACAGGTCGAGTCGGATCAACGCCTTCGCGCTCATGTTGGAGCTCCACTGACCGATCGACCCAGTCTTCCACAAACAGCAGACGAAGAAAGCACCCGCGACTAACAACAGCACCTTGGAGCAGTATTCTGGGGGTCGCATGGCAGAGCCTCGATGTGTTTTAGACGAAAACGGAAAAGCCTTGGATTTTATTAGGGAAACTGTAGTACAATAT